CAGTGTCCGGCCGTATACCATCTGGCACAGGTATACCATCTGGTACAGAATGCATCCCAATACTCGTTGTTGAGAGGAGGAAACGAGACCTGCATCTTCGGGTACGGACTGAAATGCGCGACATCCCAAGGACCAGATGTCCGACGACCTGCCCACCTTCATTCCCGTACCTGCCATCTTCAGCTCCAGCTTTTCAGGTGCCATGTAGTTTAGTGTTCCCACCATCTCGCTCCAATGAATATTTGTCGTGTCCCTTTCCAACTGCTTGGCGATTCCGAAATCTATCAGTTTGACCTCCCCTTGCAAAAGCAGAAAATCGGTGGGCTTCAGATCGGAGTGGACAATCCTCTCCTCGTGGATAGTCCTCAGTGACACGGCCTCCAGCATGTCTGTCCAGTAGTGCTTGATCGTGTGCTCGTTCATCCTCGGCTCACCTTCTTGTCGGTTCGAACCCTTGCCGTTCCACACCTTCTCCCCGTACTCCAACACTACGTCGTAGTCTATCGGTTGCACGTGGAGTGCGAGGTGGTAGGAGGCGAAGGAAGAGGAACGACTATTCACGAGAGTAAGTAGGAGAAGAAGCAAGTGTAGAAAATGAGATGATGTCGGAGTCGGGAGTCGTGGACCTACGCCCGGATGTTGCGGGCGACAAGGAGAATGCAGAGGTTTGAACAGTCGGAAAGGGGAGGGGGATTCTTCCCAAGCACGGTAGTGTCGCTCGAGTTGCTCTTCGTGACATCTGAAATACGATGGCAGCTCGTGAGCGAGTCTCGGAGGAGTGTCAGGTTGTGGAGGACGAGCTCAACAGTTTCGTCGAATGCCAGGTAGGGTTTCCAGCTAAGTCCAGTACTGCCTCTGCCAACAACGGCGTTGGCATTGCTAGTGTAACGTCGGCGGGTTGCAGTGGCCGCTTGCTACCTGAACTAGTCGCACGAGTAGCGTATGGGAGGAGGCTAGAGCATCAGCACCAGCATCAGCAGCAGAAGCAGCTCGCTGTTCTGCGTATGGATTGTGCCGGCGAGCAGGGTGACATGGGCAGATCCTCCTCGCAATCAACGTCGTCGTGGGTATGCCGTCAAGGACGACGCGAAGGCGCAGTGGAGAAGGTGAGACCCTGATCTACGTAGTGCTGGAGTACGGGAAGATCGACTTGGCGAAGTTGCTCGAGAAGGTGTGGAACGGCAAATCGAGAAGGTGTGGAACGGCAAGGTTCGAACCGACAAGAAGGTGATGAACGAGCACACGATCAAGCACTAGTGGACAGACATGCTGGAGGCCGTGAGGACTATCCACAAGGATGCGGCGGCTGCTGCCATTGATTCTGCTGACACCAGTAGAATGAAACTTGAGCAAATCATATTTCTTCAATCCAGCCTTTGACTGCGGGAGTCTCTCATATTATTCAGGCCAACCTCCTGAGCCCGAACAGAGCGTGCCATTGCCTCCTCTCGCCACGTGCCCCGCCGCCACCGTTGATCGCCCCCGGCTTGGAGCAAGGACCGCCGGGCCAACCCCGCAGCGAGCGACACGTGGCTGCTGTCTCACCCAATGATGAGTTCGTTCCTTCCGTTTCGCTCGCGACCGAGCTTAGCGAGACAGCGTCCGCACCCACTTCTTCGTCAATAGCATCATCACCACCCCCACCACCACATGAGCCCTTCTTCACATGAGGGCCGCCGCCGTGGTCGCTTTCAATGCCATCGCCGCTCCCACAGCTGCTTCAGGGGTTGCTTTTTTGCGTCCGTCCCGAAGAGAGAGCCCCCGACTTGGAGCAAGGACCGCCGGGCCAACCCCGCGGCGAGCCAGAGGTGGCCGCTGTCTCACCCAATGATGAGTTCGTTCCTTCCGTTTCTCTCGCGACTGAGCTTAGCGAGACAGCATCCGCACCCCCACCCACTTCTTCGTCAATAGCATCATCATCACCCCCACCACCACCAGAGGAGCCCTTCTTCACTCGAGGGCCGCCCTCGTGGTAGCTTTCAATGCCATCGCTGCTCCCACAGCTTCTTCGGGGGTTGCTTTTGCGTCCGTCCCGAATAGAGAGCCCATACCCGCCTCCGCTTTCCCCAATGACGACTGCTTCCTCTTCTGATCCACTCTCGCTCGCGGCAACAGTCGTTATTATTACATCCTTGCCAACTGTGGTTGGCCTGAGATCGTTCTGGCAGGTTTGCCGCGCATCGCGCCTCTGTTGTTGCAGCCTTCGAAGCAACACGCTAGCTTCATCGACGGGATCGGGATCGGCTATCCCTCTAGCGGTCGCGTTTGCCACGTCAGATTGGCCGTCTCTTCCGACTGCATGTCCAGCGCCACACTCAGCCGAAGGGGGAGGAGCGGACCCCTTCTTTTTTTCAGAGAACAGACTGGACGAGGGGAACTGCCAAAGATTTTTCCCGCCCTGAGCTGAAAGAAAATGGTCGCCGTTCTCTGCTTCTGATATCGGCGCTGCACTGGGAAACCGATGCGGCGGCGGCGGCTTCCTTCTCGCTTCATCTTCGTCAGCGCTCTCGTCCAACACCATCAAGATCGAGCTTTCGTCATCAGACGCCCTCTGGCTATTCCCTCCCAGCCTGCTCAAGCCGACTTCCCTTGGGGGACACAACCGTTACGACACATGGTGTTTTCTTGACGAGCTCCATTCGCAAGAAGAGTGGCTTCGACTCTACTAGACTTGTTGGCATTGACAACACAAGCGGCCGTCGTCGCTCCGGTCAGTCCAGTCGAAGAGGCTGCTGAATTCCCACTCCTATTTCGGAGACTTTCCTGATGACCCCCATTCTCCAGCCGGGGGTCTGCAATCGAGGCGCCCGGAAGCGGGGAAACAACGACTGCCACCCTGCTCCGAGGAGGAGGAAGAAGACGACGACGTTCTTTTGCAAGAAGAAGGAAGGGAAGAGGAAATCTCTCCTGCGGCAGGCGATGTCTTCCCAACCGATGATGCGGGAGCTGGACCTCCTCGCGCCGGCGCCCGCCGCCATGGCATGGCAGAGCTCTGCACGACGGGCGTTGAAAAATGCTGTGCGCCGCTCGATTCCACCCCTCCTGGAATCCGTGGAAGGGCTGTATGTGGAGGGAAAGCAGGCGAGGCTGCCGCTGCAGCAGCACCTATCATGTCTAAGGAGGCAGTTGCACAGCGGCGGCAGCGGGACCAAGCAATCCTGCCGCTGAAGCTGACGATCCCCGGCCAAATTCCTCAGCCTCCGACTAATGATGCTGACGTGGAGGCAGGTTCAAGTGATTATGTTGCTGCTGACGTGGCAGGGACGTCTGCTCCAGCATGGCAGAGGGCCCTTCCGCGTCCAACTTCTCGACAAGATTCTTCAGGTCCTCGACAGGCTTCGCCTGCGCATTGATGCCCTTATTCAAAATCGACCTGGCTTTCTGCGCATTTCCCGCTTGCGCTTCAAACATTGCCCATTCCGTGTAATAATAAGACAAACGAATTCCAATCCCCTCGCACTGCATGTAGTTGGAAGTGCTACGAGCCTCCTCCTCGTCGTCGATCTCTTGTTGTTTGGCGAAGCCAATCCACACTCGTGCGTACGTCTCATTTCCCCCCTGACCCGTGCCCCCCGCACCTGTTTAGTCGCCCATGAGTACAAGCGCGCCAAAGTGACACGCGACCCAAAAAACATCGACAAGTACTCTTTGGACAAAGAGCCGAGTCTCGTCTCCAAGAATTCCAGTAAATTCACCCATGGTTGCAAGCACTGAACGCCCGCCTGGACCAGAGAGATCAATTTCGACAGCCTAGCATCGTCTTTATTGCACCTCTTGCGCCCTACAACGGGATCGTACACGCCAGGTAATTTGTCGGGATCGCTACCCCGTTCCAGTAACAGCTTGAGCTCATAGAACAGCCTCGACTTCGCCACGACTCTGCCTGCTTCCCTCACACCTTCTCCACCGCGCCTTCGCTTCGTCCTTGACGGCACCTACGACGACGTTGATTGCGAGGAGGATCTGCCGACGTCACCCTGCTCACCGGCACAATCCATAACGCAGAACAGCGAGCTGCTGCTGCTGCTGCCGCTGGTGTTGACGCTCTACCCTCCTCCCATATGCTACTCGTGCCACTCGCAAGCGGCCACTGCAACCCGCCGACGTTACACTATCAATGCCAACGCCGTTGTTGGCAGAGGCAGTACTAGAGTTAGCTGGAAACCCTACCTGGCATTCAACAAAACTGTTGAGCTCGTCCTCCACAACCCTACACTCCTCCGAGACTGGCTGACCAGCTGCCATCGTATTCCAGATGTCACGAAGAGCAACTCGAGCTCGCTGACGAGCTGCCATCGTATTCCAGATGGCCATCGTATTCCAGATGTCACGAAGAGCAACTCGAGCGACACTACCCTGCTTGGGAAGAATTCCCCTCCCCTTTCCAACTGTTCAAACCTCTGCATTCTCCTTGTCCCCGGCAACATCCCGGCGTAGGTCCATGACTCCCGACTCCGACATCATCTCATCTTCTACACTTGCTTCTTCTCCTACTTACTCTCGTGAAGAGTCTTTCCTCTTCCTTCACCGCCTACTACCTCGCACTCCACGTGCATTCGGTGGGCGTCCACAACAGTCAGATAAGTCAACTCGAGAACTTCAAGGGGAACTATGAACCTTTGAAAGGAACATGAAACGTTTTCACCTTTCTGCAGTCACAGATGGGGCCCTCGAGTTCGATCCCCAGACCTTACCTTGCCCATGTACAGTATCGAGTTGACCCCCGAATGTTTGAGCCCGTGACCTGTGTTTTGGTAGTTGGTTGTTGTCTGTAGTAGGTCTGTGTAGCTGCAGGGGTTCGATCTGTAGGTCTGTCGAATAGGGGTCACAGCTATGTAGAGGTCGTAGCTGTAGGTGTTCTGCGAGGTCAAGGTCCTAGCCGCTACAGTCCTGAAAGGTCAAGGTCGTAGTTGCTACAGTACTCGAAAAGCCAAGTCCACAGACTTCCGGAAGGTCTGGAAGTGGCCTTTCAAAAGTGTCTCACGTTTAGGCAATGGCAAGTGGGCAAGTGGTGGAGTCCAACTTCGATGAGTCAGCGGTACCCAGTCCCAGTCTCACTTTGCACAGTCAGCAAGTACCATGACGGACTGTGTGCACCATGGGCTTGGTGGAAAGGGGTCAGACCACCAAGTTACAGAAGCATAAATCAAGAGGCAGCGCCCAGCTATTGATTCATTCGCTGCGTAAGCCATGCGGAAGCGCTGCTTCAGCGTCTTGTGCGAGGTGGTCTGCAGGTCGCCCGAAGTCAAAGCGAGCTGAGAGATGATAGCGTAGCCATAGTTAGTAGAGGTGGAGCGGCCATAGCCGCTGTAGTGATAGGAGTTAGTGAGGGTGTATGAGTGAGTGACAAGTGAGTGTGCGTGGGAGTATTCAGGGTGATCCAAAGTTGAGTGCGGGCGAACAGTGGTATTGATCCTCGGTTGTCATATCTCTGAGCTTTGAGTGGGCGCTGTGCGCCAGTGTGAATCACCATCTGTTTGTGTGAAGTGGAAAGAAAGTGAGTCTGATTGCAAACAAGTGGAAATAGTCAGAAACTGAGATTTTAAAATGAACAAGTTCAGATAACAATTAGTTCTACAAGGTAGTGAGACCTTCCTGGGAAATGGGCACCCACCAACGCACCGAGGGCACGGGCGGGCGAGCTCGGAGGGTAACTGTGGAAGGTCTCACTGCTCTGTTGTCCTCTGAAGGAACCAGGCTCCAGACGGCGACGCGCGGCAATGCGAAAATCCAAGCAGGGAAAGGCAGAATCTCCCGTAGTGAAAAAGGAGGAAGGGGGCCTCGCTGCACTACTCTCGACATGCACAAAAGACAAAAATATTGGCCGTGTATCTTTCCATATTCTATGGGAAGATTCACTCTCGTTTTGCACATTTCGAGAGTAGTGCAGCGAGGCCCAGAGACACTAGCACTTTCCAGAACGCATCTGACTGGAGAAGTGCATGGAGGGGGAGTGGAGCGCTAAAGCTACGCTCTGCGCTAATCTCGAGGTCCGCTGCCGGGGACAGTAGCAGTAACAGTCGAGGGTGAGTGTGATGAAGCGGTGTGGTCTGACGAATATCGACCAGCACACTCGGAATTTGCTGAGGTGCTGGCACTAGGGCCTCGCCACACCAATGTCGAAACAGGAGTTTTCAACATTTTTCCCTCGCCACACAGACTGTAGAAGAAAAAATGTCGAAAACACTTTCACAATCTTCAGAGAGGTTGTTTCGACATGGGTGTCGAACGGCCCGCCTGAAGCGGGTCCAGTTTCAACATCACGGAAACGAAGGTTGTGAAGGATATGTGTATTTTTTTATTTTTATTTTTTTAAACTATACTATTCTCTCAATTTTTCCTCACACTACCTACCTACCACTACTCCTACCTATAGGCATACGGGGAAACCCGTAGCATACCAGAGCCGTGTTTTTACGGCCCCTCGAGCCTGCAGGATACCGGCCAGGGGACGGCAGGTAGCACCAGGGATAAAGCGGATCAATCCCCCGTGCCTCCCTTTAGGCCCCTCCCCTTTGAACATAGCAGACTCTGCTTGATGCCGATCGGGGGATCCAGTGGTCTATCTCTTGGGTAGCGGGTGCCAAGTAAGCCCAGGAAGGCATGAGGCCAATGGGGATTGAACCCATGACCTCCTGAATGCCACTTGCGAGTGCCTCAACATCCTATGTCTTTTTTTTTTTTTTTTTTTTTTTTTTTTTTTTTTTTTTTTTTTTTTTTTTGTTACCCCTTTTCTAAAACGAAACTTCGCTTATCCAGGGTCTTCGACGTACAATGTGGCGAAGGCGGTCTTTGTGTCGAAACAGTGGATGCCTAAAATGGTCTCATAGTTGTCGAATATTTCACCATTTCAACAGTGGTGTGGCGAGGCCCATAGACTTTACTATGACGAGTGCCCACTGTGGAATATCAGGGGCCAAAGGGAATCCTCGCCTCCAAGGAAAGGTACGATGTGATGCCCAACCTCACGCCCAGCGCGACTTCCTGATCGGAGTAGGATGGGGGCCTGGAAGTGCGAAAAGGGGTGTGCCAAGGATTTTTGGGGAAGTGGAGTCCCAGGTCAGAACTGAGATCTCCTGTGATAGGGTCTTTCGGGGGGCACGAGTGCAATTTGGCGGAGAGGGCGTCTTCGGGTTACAAGGCAAATGGTATGCGCGGGTCGCTCAAGACCGAGCGAGCCATCGGTTTCAGGGACGGCGGTTCGCGAGCAGGTCCCTTCGGGGTAGGTGGGGTTCCTATGAGTCAGTCTGTCGGGAGTTGCCACGTGGCGCTGGTCGTCGCACGTTTGGGTTAGGCCTCCGAAACTCCGGGTTTCTCTGATCGCCGCATCGCCGGCAGTTTCTGCAGGGTGTGCTGGGCCAGTAGGGGGCTATGGCCGGCCACGGGACGACGCTGAGTTGATGATACGGAAGAAGGTGGCGAAAGGGAGGGAAACTGGTGGTGATAACTACAAATCCGGGGTGGATGAAGTAGTAGGTATGGTCCGGAGAAGGGAAATCGGAGCACCGGGGGTCGCTAGAGGTGGCGCAGTGGAATTCCCGAGGACACAGTCGGTTCTTAATGTGGCAGGGATATCTCTGCCTCAGGATTTCGTTTATCCAAGGGGTGAAGTAATTTGGGTCGTATGATGAGTCGGAATTCCAGGATCGCGTCATTGTGTCATTGCGGTATAATGAGTTGCCTAAGGGCAGGTCCGTGGCGATCGCGGTCACCGCGTGCGAATTCCGGGGTGGCCACTCCCAATCGGACAGGGCATCTGCGATCGATGGTCCTGACGAGTCGACGCCCGGGGATACGTGTAAGTGCGCAACTCAGATCGCGTTTTACACTTGTCCTCGCGCGGCGTTGGCCAAGCCCGGCATCCGATCGTCTAATCACTTCGTGATGTTCTGAGCATGCAAGATGCAACGATCACAAACAGCTTGATCAAAAGACAAGCAAAGGCAAGGACAGGATTATCGATTGCACAAAATTCCTATTCTGCACATGAGTGCATCGAATGCGACAAACAAAAACAAAGACAAGGACCTTGGAGAAAGATACGCAATCAACCATGGCATCCATACATCCATACATTCAACAATCATACACACAGCGCCTCAGAGGTGGGAAAAATCGCAAGGACAAGTGTGAGCAAAAACCCAAGTCCAAATTCCGATAAACAGAAATCGGGCAAATCGCCCAGAGCCGAAATCAAAACTTATATACACGAGACCAGAGGGAGAAAAGATAAAAGAAACAGCAACTCCTCGTCCATCAACCTCAATTCTCTCTTCCTCTCTCTCTTCTCCTCCGATGCAGACACTCCGTCGTCGCGCACCAACCCACGAAGCCGTCACCCCGCTTAGTCCTCCCGCGCCTGTCAGGTTCGCCCGCGCCCACAGTCCATCGTGGCCCGTGTCAACCCCTCGCGTTTGGCACCAGCTGGTCGGGTCGCCCGACTCCTGCTCTACTCACCTCTTACTTCCCTCCATTGCCGACCCTCTCTGATCGGGCAACCCCGAGCTTCCAACAGCTGGTTAAGAGAGTTAACTAATCGCGCAGCCAGAATTTATAGCGTGCATGCGCGCGCGTAGAACACAGAATTACCAGAACTTAGAAGAAGGGAATGGGGAGGGATTGCCTACATCTGCATGGTTTGATCGCGGCGTGGGGGACGTAGCCGCTCTCCACGCATCGATCCGATCATGCAGACCGCGACTACCAAAAACGCAGCAAAAGAAAGAGAAGAAGGGCGGGAAAGACGAAGCGCAAGAAGAAAGATACAGTTACAATGGCGCCCGCCCAAAATTACAGTTACACACACGATTAAAGGCGTCCACTAATCAGAGTTCCGTTGTAGCCGCATAAAGAAGCGCGTAGACAAAAAGCGTCGTGTGGCAAGGAAAATCCTAATTACGAAATTCCTAAATTCCTATGAAATACGAAGAAGCAAAAAGCACAAATTCCAGAAGAAAAGTCTGAAATTCCGAGAGCCATCGGGGCTCAACAAAATTCGAAAAAGATTTAAAAAAATAAATAAAAAAGAACGAAGCAAATTCCCGCGCGATGTCCGCGCCCAAAAGTTTGGAACCGAAACAAAAGAAACGACGTCAACATTTATCAATCGCGCGCACGGCGGCGCGCCAGCCATTCGGTCAACCAATCAATCAACCAGCCGTTTTAGGACACACCCGGCTCCGAACCCAGCCATTCGAAAAGAAGCGACGAAAAAGATGAAAAAACAAGGACACTGATGCAATTTCCCATCGATCCTGATTTCCCGTAATTGGCCCAAGCTTCCCAACTTAGGACCCCTCATTGCAACCGCGCAGAAAGTCGCGCGTTACAGAAAGTGGTTCGTCACAACGGTCCTTTGCGTGGTGTCTCTTTCCACGTCACATCAAATAGGAGGGTAGTCAGTC